GCCCCGGCTCCACGCAGCCCACCGGGCGGCCCCGCGGTGTCCCCGGGGCGGGGTGGGGCCGCCTGAGGCGCGCGGTCCCTCGGTCGGCTCCGGAGTGAACGGTCCCGGGCGCCCTGCAGCCCGCGGGGCGGTGCTGGGCGAGCCCCTGCCCGGCCCAGGGGAGCGCGGTGCTGCCCCGGGGAGAAAGTGGCGGCTTAGGGGAAGGGGAGAGGGAAGGTGCGCCCAGGGCCTCACCTTCCTGCCTTCCGCGGGGGCAGCTCAGGCGCCCTCGGCTGCGATGGCTGCTGACTCTGTGTCGGTGGAAGAACAGATGATTTTCAGACTATAAACTTGCCTCTTCTTTTCTTGAATCAGTTGCAAAACTTTTGAGCAATCCATAAAAGAAATTAAAAACTCTGTAAAACGCCCAGATGTTTTCCACTTCAGATAATGCAGCCAGTTCCTTATCCCCTTATCACATGTAAGGCTGGCTGGAACAACTTGGGAAACAAAATGTGCTTTGGGAGAACAGTTGGTCTTATAGCTGGAAGAAAAAGAACAAGCAGACATGAGAGAGTGTAATTGGAAAATCTTAAAAGAGGAGGAAAAAAGGTTCACCTGTTACTACTGTTACGGCAGTGCTGCTGTGTTTCTTTGTTAAATTCCAAGTCTTACTGTCATCCTCATAAAAACAGTGAAAAAGTGGAATAGAGATTGGTTCATGATGTCAAATGTCAAGCAGTCATTTGACAATTATTACTGTGCAATGATATAATCTGTCATCTTGGACCCCATTTCTTACTGTATATCCTTTTTATTTTAATATTTAGGATGTGTTTGCGATGTTCAAATAGTTCAATCCTGGTAAAAAACAAAAATTGCTATTTTGTAAATCAATATATTAGAGTTCTGAATTGAGGGCAAAATCAATTAGTGGAAAGGGTGTGCAGTAAAAGGAAGCTCATTAAGTAACTGGTTGCAACCCAAGTTTGAAAATGTTTCTCATGTAAGCTGCAAGAATCTTGGCAGCTGGTTTTAAGCAAGTGCAAGCTGAATCCCAAATGGCACTGTATTATTTGTAGCCTTGAAGCCGGGTATCCTTTCACGTCTTGCAGTTGTCATTGGCGTACATTCTGTACCTGTTGGCAACTTGGCGGCCCCTTTACTGCGCTGAGTAGCAGACTTCAAGGACTCAGGTGGTAAATTAGTCTCTTGTGCTTATTCAGACTGAGATGCTAATGAGGACGCCTATTGGCAATGCTCATTTTTTGGGATGTGAACAGCTGTTGACAAAGAATCTGAGTGAGATTAACTCGTGTCTCACAGACCGTCAAATGGCCACCAGATATCACTAACGTTATGGGAGTAACAGTTGGGATAACAGCAAACACAGTTGCCTTGGCATGCTCTCACCGCTAATTTCAGTCTTTATAGTCATGAGTTGGAGATCTCTTTTTCCAAAAATATGCTGATTTTAGGGTTTTAAAATTTTGTAGCTATTAAAAATAATCACTGAATACAGATCACTTATGTATGTTTAGCATACACCAGTAAATGCTTCCTTTTCAGGTTGTGGAGGTCAGGTGATACTGTGATCAGTGCCCAAATGTTTAGAGAGAATGCAGCAAGTTGCAGGAACTGAATTATGCCAGTGAGAGCAGTCAGAGTGGATATGGCTGTATTTACTGCCAGAGGATAAATAAAGAGGTGGTAGGTGTGTCTGAATTCTGGTATGGACTTAGCTTGTCTTCTGTGGCCTTGACCAGGTTCACAAAAACATGTGTGAGAGTCCATTGAAATCCCTGCTTTTGTGATTTCTTGAAGAGGTATGCTTTTCTGAACTGGGACTGAACACAGCACATTCCCATAGCATTTGTTTGTATTCAGATAAAATCAGGAGAGGGATGAAGTCTCACCATGTTTGTTAGAATTATAACTTCCTTTAACCTTGCCTTCCTTGAATAGCAATATAGTTGGGAAAAGGACATTGTCTTACGGCACAGCTAAAAGATTGTTTTTCAGCCTTGTAGCTGAAGCAAGTCTAGATAAAACTGTATGAAACAATATACTGCTGTAGCATTACAGTAAAAAACAAACCGAGAGAAGAAACCTGGCAGCTCGTTTGGACTGTGTACTATATGTAGCCCCAGATGCAGAAAGTGATTTAAATCAGCTCTCCGGAATGAAGTCTGGTCCAAACATTTGAACACTTTCTATGAATCTGGTTGAGGCAGCTATAATGTTACTGGCACCCTTCCAGCCCTTTCTGTCACAGCAATGCTTTCCTTAACAGTCTTGTCCAGTCTGTATGGAAAAAAACCAGACAATGTCCACGTCCCTTTAGATACAGTTGCAAACATTTGCACACCTTGCTGTCTAAAGACTTTTAAAGTTGACCTATTCTTTCTTAATTTTGACACCATACTTCTGACCCATCTCAAGTAGTTCCTTTTCAACTGCAGTGATTACAATCTGTGTTGTCAGTCAGCTTGCTTTGTATCACAGTTGCTTCTTTCTTTTATAAAAAGTCTGTAGGGATTGTTTCTAATCAGCTGATGATGGTGATTATTTTTCTCCAAACTCAATACCAATTTATTATTTACCTGTCTCTTAATACTGTGACCGTATAAGCTAATGTGGTGAGTCCTGGGTTATTACTGCATTTCCTTGGAATTCAAGTTATGTTGGTTTTTAAATAACATGTTAATGATAATTGTAGCTGTTTAAAATTTGTAACTGTCATTTGCTAGACTACTATAGTGGTTTGTCAGAAACAGCATCTATCTGTCCATTGTGTTTAAAAAAAAAAAACAAACACAAAACCAAAACAACAAAAAAAAAGCCCCAACAAAACAAACAAACCCAATGCTTAGTGGGGAAGATTGGTTCCATTTTTGACTGCATGAATCCAGAACTGCAGTCCTGATTGTTTAATTAGAGAAAGGACAGAAAAAGACCTAGCTTGCACTTTAGCTTACATTTGTAGAAACACTGACAGCAGATAGTGGCATTTTTAACTTCCTGCTGTCAAAAATCAGAGCTTTTGAGGTGATTTTTTGCTTCATAACTGACTTGATCTAGGCAAAATCAATAATTTGGCAGAATAGACCTATTAATCATAATGAATATTTGTTAGGTTTTAGTGTAGATTTTCACAAACTGAGAACATTGAGGTGCAGTCTTAGAATTGCCAACATTTTTAAAGGTAATTTATTAACTTTTATTTATGGAAAGACAGTGTTGAAAGTTTTGCATGGTATTTTTTGAAGGAAATTTTGAAAGCTGGATAGGCAATGCACTTTCTGAAAGGACTTTGAAAGGGAAACTGTCCTTTTAAGAGAAGGAAGGCAGCAGAGAGATTATGGCAGTGTTCAACTTTGTATCGCCAAGGGGAACCTTCTCTTGTTTGCGTATTCCAAAAGGGTAAAGTATTGCAGGCTATGCCTTGATTTTGATATTAAGAAAGCCTGTTCTGCAAATTAAGTGCATATGAGGCTTGTACATGAACTCAGGCTGCCAGGAAGCCTATATTTAATGGGAGCCTTTGTATTTTACTCTGCCAGTTACTTTTCTCGTGACTGGGGGCTATTTTTAGTTTCTCCTAAGGGGAAAAAAAAAATCCCCTTGTGTTTTTAACAGTTTATATACTGCTACGAGCCTTTGGTTTTCCGTCTGAATCTGACATTTTCTGACATTCAATCATGTTGAATGTTATACAACTGATTGTTTGTCTCCCCTGAATGTGTTGTTATTTATTTTGCTGATATGAAACATATCTAAAAGCACTTTCACTGTTGCAGGCACTTGGCTTCTTGTGGTATTCTGATGACCAGAGCTGCTCCTTTGCAAGTACCTGTAATGAGCCATACCTTTTCAAGAACTTTCTTCAACATTGCTGCTCCGCTAGTAAATAAAAGAAAAGAATATTCTGAAAGAAGAATTATAGGGTTTGTATAGAAGTGTGGAAAGAGACCTTATATGCTTATTGATTTTGTGTTTGCTGTGATTAATCCAAAACACTAGAATTTCAAAGACTGAGCATCCCTGAAGACACATGCCCCTACGACTCTACCAAATTGGAAGGAATTTTTATTTCATAATTTGTAGAAATTAAGCTTTTCCAATCTGAAATTGAATATGAAAAATTGTAAGAACCCAAACCCCCTGCATCATAGAACAAAACAGCAGAAATAACCCTTCTATTCCATGGCAAAACAGAAGCATAGGATAACTATTAACTTCATCTAGTGAAATGGGACCAAACCAACAGTTGTGTGAAAACTCTGTTTGTTCCCTTCTGTCTCAAATACCTGCTAATGTTTGCATTTATATTATGTTGTACTTCTCACTTCTTGGGATTTTCTTCTTTCTTTAAAGGAAGGAAAATAATTAATTGTGTGATAAAATAACTTAGGCATATAGAAAAATGTTTTGAAGTCCTATTTGCCTTAAAGCTAGTGGGAAAATTCCAGTACATTTAATGAGACTGGGAACTGTCCCCAGTCTCTGCTCAACAGTATGAACTATTTATTTACTAGCATAAATTTGTTGACTATGCTTAACACTGGGTTATGTGATAGCTCTTGAACTGCAACAGATTTTGCATAATCACTTAAAAAGAACCTTTGTCCAATAGTACTCACTGTTGAACATAGGTTTCATTTTAAACACAGATGGAATTAATCATGTGCTTCAGTTCTTTTCTAAGTCAAAAGTCTAAAAATTAAAAACCATAGATATGTAATACTTTGCCATGTTACAGTAGAATGAACTAAAATGTTGCCATCATATTCTTTTATACAGTTTCAATATCCTGCTTGAGCAGGGGGGTTGGACAAGGTGACCTCCAGAGGTCCCTTCAAACCTCAGCCATTCTGTGATGCTGCGAGGTTTCTCCATTACATGTATTTTTTTAATTACACTTTTTAATTTGGACTAAAATAAGGAATGCAGTGTTCCTCTATTTAAACCTTATGAAATACAGTATTTTCATTTTGAGACACCTTTTCTTGGTAGCCATGAAGTGTGGATTTCTTATGTGGAATATCTAAGATGTATCTAAATGAAGACATGGCTGTGCTGGGAAAACTATTTTTCCATTCAAATCATATGCATATTTACCTGATATTGCAGAAAGTAGCAGAAACCAGGTTCACTGTTGACTAACTTTACTGCTGGATGTTGTGTGGTGTTTTGCATCTTTATTCAAAGACTTTTACCAGTTCATTACTTTTTTTTCTCTTTTTAATTTCCAAAAACAGTGGTAGTGTTTTCAGGTAACTGTATGTTCACCTTCAAAATTGCCATTTATATCATCTTTGAAACTTTTTAATACTGAACTTGAAGTTAAAATACCTTGTAAATAACATCTGTGTTTCTTTTTCAGGTATTCTATGCAGGAAATGTATGAAGTTGTTGCACTTGTGGAGAATTACAAACTATTTGTTCCTTGGTGTAAGAAGTCAGATATATTATCGAAGCGCTCTGGATACTGCAAAGCACAGCTAGAAATAGGATTCCCTCCGGTAGTAGAGAGGTATACATCGGTTGTTACCCTAGTGAGACCACATTTAGTTAAGGTAACTCTTTTTTCTTTTTTTTTTTTCCTCTTTTCTATTTCTTAGCTGTAACTTTTGCTTGTTGAAACTCAAGTAATTCACTGGTGCTTCAAAACAAAACTGATGCTGGAAGTGCTTTTTGTGGCTCAAAACTTGTGTTGCTTTTGCTTAAACACAGGTTAACTGGAGAGAATTTGAATGTGCTTTTAAACATAAGCTGCCAAATGAGGGCTTTTTAATTTCCTTTTTGCTGGAGAAACTTGCAGCCGTTAATGAAGATACATAATTTTTGTTGTGCTTCTGTTAAAATTTTGTCCAAACCTTTTTAAATGCAAAGATGACTTAAGTCAATACTAATTTTGACAACTGTAGCTGCTTCTGCCTTAAAATTGCTATCTGTCATTACTTCTCTTCCGATAGTTTTAACTAGCTAATATGAGAAGTCTTAAACTTAAGTGTAGGATCTTCTGAAGGACTTGTTATCCTGTGTAAGACAGCAGAGTTGATCTAAAGCTCATTTTTTTTTTTTTAGAATTAATTTGTTCAGAAGTGAAGCAGTTGTATTTCTTCTCCTTTCAGCTTTGCAAGAGCAATAGTTAAAAACATTAAGGAAGAAATGTTAGATGATGTCTGGTTCTTCTGACTAGTTTGCCTTGTAAGTTTAAATCTGTTTTGGTCAGAAACATCTCAGAATGGATTGTAGAAAAGCTTCCTCTCCCTTCATGTGGCAGATACTACTTTTGGGGATAACTACTGGAATTACGATAGTTGATTGCTGTTCAAGATAATTGTTTAGATATCCTATTTCACTATTCTTTTCTAGGCTTCCTCTTAAGAGACACTGCTCAAAACAGAAATGTGGTTTCTTAAGTGCAGGCGAGATATGAATTGGAGAGGGAGTATGCAAAGTGCTTTTATTCAAGGCACTTATTCTGGAAAGAAAGCTATATCTTTCTCCCTTTCTTAATAAAGTTGAACAGCTACAATGGAAAATCTGCATTTTACATGCTGACTGCTTTCCCTTTCTACTCTTCCCTGACAAGACAGGCTTTTTTTTCCACATAGCTATCAGATTGACTTACTCTTTTTCCCTCCAATTCACTCAAAAGAGGATTTCTGGTCTGAGGGAAGATCCTGGAAGTGGTGAGGAGAACCATTGCTTCAGGTTTCTACCTCTTAGACTTACTAATATTTTCTCTGCTGGGATTATTTTTCCTAGAAGTTTGCGTGATGTTCATGTGACTGTAGGAACATTTCTAGAGAAGTGACTGTGTGTTTGGACTACTTCACTGTCTTCAGAAATAACCCTGGGCAAAGGTAGCTTGCATGGTGGTCTAGCATAGCAGGCTACCGGTGGCGACAAAACGAGCGTGGATTTGTTGCTTACGGCAGCACTGCTTGAGCAATGGAAAAATCACACTGGTAGCCGCAGTTCTTGCCACGGAGGAAAGCACGGAGTGAGTTTGCTACTTATAAGGTTGGGAGCAAGGAGGACACACTGGCAATTTTCCCATTCTTCCTGCCCTTTTGGCAGCAGCAGGAAAACAAGCCCAGCTCTTCATGTCCAATCTTCCCTCTACCTCCTCCCTTTCTGTTGTAGAACTAGCAAGACACTCAATCTCATTCCTGGGCAGAAAAATGTAGGTATTTTTGTGCTGCTGATTAGTCTTGGAGATGGCTTACCTTATCACTGCTTCCAAGCTACAAGCGACAGCTATTCATCATGGGTAGTCTTGTTGGAGCAGAGCTGCTTGTGGTAACAGTAAGACCTGTAAAAAAAGCATTACAAAACAGTTACAGGAATTCTCTCTAGAAATGCCAAGATAACTGAGATGATGTATTTGAATGATTTTGAAGTATGTGTCTTTCTGTCTTTTTCTATTTTAAATATAGCTACACAAACTTAGCCATATGTGCTAAAAGCAAAATGAGTGAAGATAAGGACCTTATTGTCATGAAAACTATGAAGTCAACTACTGCAAATACTTTATTGTTTTAAAGTAGGATTATATGCAAGCACTCCTGAAATGTTAGTTAAGTATGGCTTGCTGATAGCTAAAAGCCAACATATAAGCTGATTATGGACTTTAGTATGTAGTCTTTCTGAATTCATGGTAGCTCCTGGCAATAGTACCTTGTGACAGAAGAATTTTAAAGCTTGTCTTCAATCAGGTTTGTTTTTAATGTTAAGTGTTCCTATAGCCCAAGAGTACCAGTCTATATATCAGTATATGAAACATTCTGTACATGTAATGAAAAAAATCCCCACCCAAAACCTAGTAAATATCCATATCCGTTGTTTAAAACAGCGTTGTTCAAAATTCTGGTATATAGCATTAGCATTATTTTGGTGTTCTATGCGTCACGCTAGAGATCTGTTTTATGACTCTCAGCACAAAAATTTTGCCTTTCCCTTAAAAGGGATTCCAGTTACTTTGCCATAAATGACACTCTGCAAATAGGATCTTATGCTGCCTGCACTTTAAGAAAAAAAATTAACTATGCCATGACCTTCACGATATAACAAAATGGAAATGCAAAGTTCAGCAATACCAATTTGTCACGTCTGTAAAATCCTAATTATAGCTTGACTTCTTAAACTTTCTTTAAGGCATCCTGCACAGACGGAAAACTATTTAATCACTTGGAAACAGTATGGCGTTTCAGCCCAGGTATCCCTGGTTATCCAAGGACATGTACATTGGATTTTTCAGTAAGTATTGTAATTAAGACCACCACAGTTTGTAATGGGGCCTAGAAACACTATCTTTAACCGTGGTTTTGGTTGTTGGTTTTGTTTTTTAAATGGCTGGTACTAATTTTTTAAATGCAGACACACAGAAAACAAGTTAGTTTTAATCACTCCTATACACATTTTTTTTTTTTTCAAATTTTACCACATAGGAACCACTACAGTTTCCTTTAGAGTCAGTGGTCTTCTGTGAGGTGCCCCCCTGTCAAGAAACAATCTAGGGATTGGTATTTCTCACCGTACAATTCTAAACATGCTGGTTTTAAGACTGTCAAATACAGAGGGAGAAATACTAAACATATATTGCTATTTCCTTTAATTATTCCACAGCCTAAGTGCTCTTGGTACCAGAAAGTGGGTATTCTCCCATCTGTCCTGTTTGGCCTGCAGTTTGGTCACTTTAATTTCCTGGCTTCCAATTCTACTCTTTCATGCATTTTAAGTCTTACTTCCTTCTATAATACGGGTATTATACAGATTTGTGCTGTCTTTCTACTCTATGATGGGATATCACTGCAGCTAGAGACTATTGCTCTTAAAAACTAGTATCTAATTTAGCTTGGTACTCTAGACACATTGCTTTCCACTCCAGTTACTGCTTTTCCATTTTGTCTCTTTAGTCTGCCGTCCCATCTTTCTTACATTTTATAGTGTTAAGAGTAGGTGTTGGATTGAAATAGAACAGGCTACAAAAGTACACAGAAATGGGTCCATCCTGCTGCCATCTACTGGGATACCCTACTTTCAAAATTATTGTCTGGAAATAGGAAAGAGAGCTTTTGGAGTATTTATAAACCAGCACATTAATCTCCTTGGTTTAATAACTTTCAGCTTATTGCTGTATTGTGCTTTGTACAGTTCAACTGTAAGAAGGAATCCATAGACACTACAAAAACCAAATTTGTCATAGGATTTGTCAGTAAAGTTTGCATGTTATTTGCTTGTAGTGTTTGAATTTCTCCAGGTAAATAAGTGCCAGTTGCTACTGTGCAGTGCATAAGCTAGCTTTTAACCCAAAACATAAATCAGTTGAGAAAAGTTGAATTAAGCAAGTGTTTATACCCCATAATCTAAATACTGAGTTTGTGAGGAAAACTTTTCTCTCCCCCATACCAAAGCCACCTTTTGACATTTCAGGACAAGAACTTCAGTTAAAGGGAGGTAAAACTGGACTTAAATTGGACATTTTCACTTTCCTGGGGAAACGCTATTGATACTTCTTACTACTTACCCCATGTTGAGGTAGCAGAGGCAAAGGTAGCCAGATGAGCAGGGGGTTGCCTCATAAAGACAAGTCCTTAAGGACTCTAACTTCTGCCAGTTGCTGACCTGCTGTGTTGCTTGCCTCTGGGCCTGTGCAGATAGAGATAAGCATTTCACAACAAACTTCTCAAAACATACTGTGCAATTACAGATCCTTATGAGAGAAAAACTTTGATGTCAAGAAGAAGTGCTGCTGGCACTGTTTTGCCAGCCTGCTGCCAGGAGACACACACATACAGCAGGGAACTTCTTGAGTTTGATTTCAGCTCTTAAACGATTTGGTACATAGACTGAAGCTCAACACCATTTTTACCACCTGCAGACTTCGTTAAGTGTATGACACACCTCACGTGTGTGCACAGTTATGAGTATGATGCCAGACTCCTTACCCCACTCTGCAGAACTCCACGTGCTCTACACACCAACTCTCAGGCTTCCAAAAGGCACGTTCATGTTACTGAAGCTTGAGGTCAAGCAAATGTAAATGAAGTTATACCTGGCCTGCAGTCCAAGGAGTTTAATTACTTCTGTACTTTGCAGTTAATATGCATTATGCATAAGCAACTCGAGAGAAGCTGTATTTGCTCCATTTGGCATTTAATCTGCTGACTTCCCAGAAATGACAAGAATACTTACATCTCAATCCAAAAGACATGCTGTAGCAGGACTGATAGATAAAATCGCAGAAGAGCAACATTTTTATTTTCCTGAAAACTCTGTACTCACTTTAGGAAGCTGTGTGTTCCACAGCAGTGGGATTCCATAGCCTTAGGGGAACATTATTTAACTAGACCAAAGGCCAGCACAGCACAAAAGCATAATTGCAGGCTATTTAACATAAAAGTTACTTATTTCTTTTGAGGATGGGGAAAATGGAATCCCTGTGCCCCTGCCATAACTGCTAACCACTACAGTAGCTTCAGTTTAACTGCAGGATTCAGTAGTTAAAAGAAAACGTAGAAGCTCAGTTCTGAGCACTGCCGGAGGAGGCCCGAGGGCTCAGTACAGAGGCTTTCACCAGTATGGCTGTACTCTGACACGGACTGCCTGCCTCAGCACAGCCAAGGTCGAGGTGCTCAGGTAGGAGATACGGCACACACAAGCAAATTTATAGCTGTAGTCAGTAAATTGCTCTTGAACATAATATAACTATAGCTACCAAGATGGAAAAAAATTATTTAGAATGTTGGTATTGACTAGGTTACTATTAGACGCCCCTTTTAAATGCCTCTTGGGTTTGCTCCAGCTTACCTGTAAGTCTGCTGCATTTTCTTCAGATAACTTTTGTTCCCAAGTGAATTATGTGCACAAGTAACTAAGTTACTGTTTGTCAGTAGCTTTTCATTATCCCAAATCTTTTACTTCTGTTTTGTGATGTATCATTTATTAAGTAAACTACAGTTAGTTTAGGTAAATAGAAATGATTACTTCAGAGAACTGAACAAAACGATTCTGCTAATTGAAAAGCCCAGGGGACAGTCCCATGACCAAGGAATGAGGCTTTTCTTCACAGACACACTCACCTGTAGTTCGGTTTTAACTGTTCTTTCTCCCACAGCTTACTTTTAGACTAACTGGAGATTCTTTTATTAAGTTGTATATTTGTAACAGCATTTTACCACAACAATAGATACAAGAAAAACAATTCTTCTCTGTTTTCTTAAACAGGTTTCTTTCGAATTTCGTTCACTTTTACACTCAAAACTCGCTACGCTGTTTTTTGATGAAGTGGTAAAGCAGATGGTGGCTGCATTTGAAAGAAGAGCCTCCAAACTCCATGGCCCAGAAACAACCATACCTCGGGAGCTAATGCTTCATGAAGTTCATCAGACTTAAAAGGGAAGATTGTAACGACCTCCATTATAAACTTGTTTGTACACTTTGTTTGTACAAGAGGTGCCGTGCTCCTCCTTCGGGGCATTTATTTCATATCTGAGCTTTGTGTGTGACTTTATACTGTACAAACCCCACCTGTTCAGCCAGATGTATATAGAATGTTCAAGCTGCAATCAAGTGCAACTTTAAGTGTTACCAGTAACAGACAGTCGTCAGCTACTGTAACACAGGATGTCTCAGGCTGCCGATTAACTTGTGTAATCACAGTTGTAAGTTCTGCCTTATCCAAGCTTATGGTTGTTGGTTTGTTTTTTTCAGCATTGTAACATATTAACTCAAGTTTAAGTTATTAGTTGTGTGACTGTAACCTAACGGCCAACCCGTGCCAAGCGGAGGGAAACTGAGGTTCTGGCTGTGGGGAGTAGGAACAGTTTGTCAAGCATCAAACAGCAGGTGCTTTTAATCCAAATGAAGGACAAGGGTAAGTCAGGAGTGTCCAGCTGCTGTGGAATTCCAACCAGCAAGGGCAATAGGAACAACAACGCAGCCTTAACACCCTTGACTTGTCAGAAGTTAAACGTGAGGAGTACTGTAAACTGAGCAGTTTCAGCTATAGCCACGTGGCCCTTAGCTCTGGCCACTTACAAATCTGCAGTATGTTTGGGAGGCTCTTTCACTGTTACGCACTGCAGTTAAGTGAGATGTATCCACCATAACCCAAGGCAAACAGGTCCCAGTTCCAACAATTTTAAACCAAGTAAATAGACGTTACCTCTTTGAGAGCTGGGGCACGAACGTACAACATTCTGCACCACAGTGCTGCCCCCGGGAAGGAAGTGTCCTCTGCTTACTGCAGGCTAAGCACACCTCAGGCCAGTTGTCATTAAAAAACAGAATAGAGAGCTACACTTTAGCTCTTAGGTTTTAGTTCAGTACCATTTGATTAGCAGCTACCTTAATTGTTTTCAGTAGTTGTATTCTCTACATTAATACTCTCCATTCTGAAGTGAATAGGCTGTAACAGTTTAAGCGCTCTCTCTGTGCTGCCCTGCATTACCATTGTTCTTTACTGGAATTAGGTGAAGCTTCAGGACAGGTTATGAAGCTGGTCCCTTCTCCAAAGCGTCCGCAACCCACACAGTTACCACAGAGCAGGGTGTGAAATAACATAGGAAGGGATGCTTCAGGACAGAGCCAGGCCTGAAGCCGTTCAGACCATGTAGATCCTTTTCCAGAAAGAGCAGTTGAACTGCCCTTCACACACCCTGTCTGTGAAGGATAGTTCTTCCTAAAGGTAGGAAGCTGGGGAAAGTGACAGCTGGAGTAAGAGGTCAATTTTAAAGCACTGAGAAGTTGTGAAGTAATTTTGTTTGTTGAGACAGAGGAAAAACGTACACAAGTTTGGAAAGGGGAGTTGAAAAGGAGGGAGAAAAGACTTTCGAGCATTGTTATCAGCCAAGTCAGGTCAAAAAACACAGTAGTTGGCAAAGCTGTCATTTTTAAGGGCAAAACAGCACCTAGTGCAAAGTAATTCAAACTAAATCCTGGAGCCCGTTACCAGAAAGCTGGGACACAAGACTGGAAGTAACCACAAACTGCACCCGAGCAAGAGAAGTATTTAAAAACCCCACAACCCTTTCTCAGCAAAGACAACTTACCTGTTTCATGTCCTCGGGGCACGTTCCCTCCCACAGCGCTGTGAGATGCACTGGGCCTGTTCCGGCACGTGGAAGGATGGTGCAAAATAAAGTCAGGGCAAAATAAAGTCAATGCACATGCCTTATTTTCATAGCATTTTTTAATATTTCAAAGAACTGTACTGCCAGTTCAGCTTAGGTATTTCTTACCAAAATTAAAGTCACTTGTACTTCTGAGAAACATTCTAGACAAAGGAATGTTTCCTGGAGGGACATGCCCTGTCATTTCCAAGCATAAGTGTCAGATTTCTAGTAAATCTTAGAAGTAGGAAACCGTCAAGGTTCTCCCATGACTATGGCTTTGTGTGCAGATGAATGAGGTGATACATTTCATAACTTTTGAGCAGTTTGTTTTATTACATAAAGGTCACATAACTGTATATTTGCCTACTTTGTACACAATTGTCTAGTCTCACGCACAGTGGCTTCCAAGTTCTTCCTACTACTGGCAAGCACCAGGAAATTCTGAAACAGAATATCAAGTGCCTTAAGTTTAAATCGGGACCTTGGTAGATGGATCTTGCACCCAGTTTATCAGGAATGTACAAATGTCTTTATTCAAAAAATACAAAATAAATTATCTGTAGGCATGGACAATGACTGTAAACAATTACACGTGTTAAATGAAATCCAGTAACTGATGGTTACAGTGATTCTTTTAAACACCAGCCTCACTTCAGTCACTATCCACCCTCCTGCACTGACATCTGAAGGTTTTAAAGTCAGATCTGTCAGTCTTAAACAGCACAGCTCGTGATGCTTCCCCAGCCCAGGAGTTAGAACATGCCACCTCCCATTCCTCCGCCCATCCCGCCCATCCCTCCCATTGCCGGCTCCTTTTCTTCTTTAGGAGTTTCAGTCACCACTGCTTCTGCTGTTGATAAGAGAGAGGCGACACCTGCAGCGTCCATCAGAGCAGTTCTCACAACCTAAAAATAGGAAAGAAATAACTTAATACCTGCTGACTGTCACGAGAGCTGGGAAGAAGGAAAGCTGAGAATTAAAGGCTATTTTAGGTTACCTTCGTTGGGTCTATGATTCCTTTTTCTACCATATTTACAAAGTCCCCAAGCATTGCGTCATAGCCAACTTCTGATGGACTCTGCAGGATTTTTTCAACTATCAATGATCCTTCAACACCTGCGTTCTTTGCGATAGTCATTGCTGGGATTTTCAGAGTTCTCTTTATTATGTCAATGCCTGTAAGAAAAAGGATGTTTAGAATTACACATTATGTTCACTACTCCTATTGCCAAGGCACTCATGTGCTGGAGATCCCTACAAAAAGAGACCCTTCTGTGCAAGAACATAAGCTATTTTTATCATTTCCAGGGGAAAAAAAAAAAAAGTTCTCTGCTACTTGACGTTTGTCAACAAATTAAATCATTGCAGGACATTCACACGTGTTTTAGTTTTACTTCTGCAAAAGTTAGTAAGGAGATTACTGTGACATGGCACAAAGCCTTTTTCCATTTGATCTGCCACACAATCTCTGCAGACATGAAGTCTCAGAACGCTGGCAGCAATGTCTCAACTCAACTCTTCCTTCACCAGTTTGCAGTTCTTCACAGGGGGTACTGCTCTGTTATTGTCACTGGTTCTTTCACATCCTGGTCAGGGACACAGCGAAAGCTCCTTCCCGCTGTAAAGTGGGGACTGCCATTCCCAGGGAACAGGAGGTTCTAAAGATCAAGTAACTAAAAACTCCCCGAAAGCAATCTGTATTTTATTTTATAAAGTGTCAGAAGGGAATAAAGTCTACTCTTAACACCTCTCAAGCATTTACTTACCAATTTTCTGATCTTCATTGGCTGGAGCTAAGGCATCTAATGCTGGAATGCAGCGAAGCAGCGCACAGCCACCGCCTGGCACGATGCCCTCCTCTACGGCAGCACGGGTGGCGTTCAGGGCATCAGTGACCCTGTCCTTCTTCTCATTCACTTCCACATCACTTGTGCCACCAACCTACAAGAAGCCAGCCAGACATCAAGGTCCACACAAGGAGATGGGGTGGGGAAGTTCTGCTGGCTACGGAACTGCTGCCACAACTCCACAGCCAACTGAGAAGTGCCAGAAAGCAAAGCCCTGCTCTCCCCCGCTGGCAGCGTTCTGCACCTCACCACTCAGGAAGCCTGAACACACAGCTTTAGTTGATTATTTCACCAAGGTCCAAACAGCAAGGTGTAATGCTGTAAGCAGCCAAATTCCTTACCCAAATCAACTGCTAACGTTATGAGATGACCACACAGCAGTAACTCAGCTCAGCAATGAAAGACTTCCCTAAGAAGTGTAACCTCTCACCTTCAATACTGCTACTCCATCAGACAGTTTGGCCAATCGCTCATTCAGTTTCTCTTTTTCATAGTCACTTGTGGTAACTTCTAGTTGTTCAATGATTTCCTGAATACGTTTTTCAATTTGAGCCTTTTCACCCTTCCCCTTCAGAAGCATGGTGTCATCTTTTGTCACAATGACCTCTCCGACTTTACCGAAGTCATGAGGCTGAATATCTTCCACGTTTAGGGTCAAACCCTCTTCTCCAAACACCTGAAACAAATTACGTGAACCATTGGAATTCACAGCTTCTCTATACATGAAGTTTCTATTTCTAGACACACAAACACATAGAGCAGGTTAGAAGTGTGACAATCACACTGCTGCAGCTGAATGAAACACAACTCTCCCCTTCCCCACAGGGAGTCAGGCACACAGGTACCACACAAACTGGCCCTCATGGATCTCACTCACGCCTGACTCGGGTAACTCACTGATTCCAAGTGCCCAGGAACTCTGTGTTACAGAGCTCTCTCTGGATTTTGAGAAGTTATGAGTATATCGGCACTAAACTCACTTTAGAATAGAATTAGATAGTTTGTTACTTTGTGCTCCAGTTAACTTAATGTTTGACTTCAATAACCACCTTTGGATCCCAGTATCACGCTATGATTTTGAAGCGTGTATTAAAAAAAGCATTATAAAGGAAACACTAATTGGGACATCAACTATTTGAGAAGTTGAGTGCAAAAAAAAATTACCCAGCCCATTCCAAACATTTTGAAGAATTACATGTGCCATACTCGAGTCTGGGCAATTGTGAGACAATCAGTTTTATAAAGCCACAAGAAAGCTTTGCTATTTCTAAGAAGTTTTGTTGATTCCTCCTTCCCCTTTAAGAGCCTAGAGGCTGTAAGGAAATGGTGTGTAACGCAGTCAGTTCCAAGGACACGTTACTCGAGGTTGGTCAGGGCTGTGTTACAAGCAATATCCGCATTTAAACAAAGCACAACGATTCCAACATTAGCATTACTGTTACATTTCTGAAAGAACAGGACAGAGCCTGCGACACAGCAAATACACACCACGGACCTAAAAATAAACATTAAATACCGTTAGCATTTCTTTGACTAAAAAGCCATTAAAACATGGTTACTTACAGCACCGCCAGTAGCGATTGCCATATCCTTAAGCTGGTTTTTCCTGTTGTCACCAAAACCCGGTGCTTTTACAGCAACAACCTGAAGACCAACTTTCAGCCTGAAGAGAAGAATTCAGAAAGCAACATTCCACATGCGTTCAGAGAACGAGTCTACTGAAAACAGTCACTTCAGCAGAGCTCTAACTATCAAGCAAACAAAGAGATCTGGGTTTGCTCAGAAAGTTAGTTGGGCAACAACTGAAATTGTGTCTGCACTGACGCACAGTACCGCTAGGTACAAAAATTGCTGTTTCTTTGGTACTGATAAGAGAATAGGCAACACTCCTACACTGCAGCAAATACATGCTTTTGTATGTTTTCTTTTAGAAAAATGAAAACACACCAAAAAAGCAGTATTTATCTAAAAGTATGGATTTTAAGCCTCACCTGTTCAAGACCAGAGTGCTGAGTGCTTCTCCATCAACATCTTCAGCAATAATGACCAAAGGTTTGCGGTGAGAATTGGCAATTTCAAGAGCTGGAACTATGGACTGTACACTAGAAATTTTCTTTTCACTGATTAAAACATAAGCATCCTGGAATTCACATTTCTGCCCTGCAGAAACAACAGACATTGTATGAATAAGCCCATTTTAGAAATGTATCACGCATTCTCTTAAGTTTAAGGAGCTACTTTGGAGCAACTGCTGCACTTTTCAATGGCATTTAAAGAGAGACACAAATTGTTTTTTCTCCAAGACTCTACTTGAACTCTGCATTGCCCTGGAGTGTTGCAGGGCCAGCTTGGTGTCAGCATCACTGTCCACACTTGGGAGAGGGAGTAGACCCCACAGAGACTCCAAGTTTTTACCAAGAGTTAAAAGTTTCCTATGGGGAAGGACTCACCTGCCCTGTTGCCATGCCAGGTAACATAACAGATTGTCAAGTTTTTATAACAGCAACCACTATTTCTAACTTACTGGAGCTGTTGTAAGGGATTTGGCACACAACACTGTTAACTCACCTTTGGTTGTATTAATAAAATATGGAGAGATGTAGCCTCTGTCAAATTTCATACCCTCAATGATTTCCAGTTCATCATTTAGAGTTTTTCCATCCTGTTTAGATGCAAGAAAGTTGACATTAGAGACCCCTTATTTACTACCAAAATCACAAGTATATTTTTAGCATACTACACACAACAGAATGAAAGACTCTGCACCACACGTCAGTTTTATGTGCTTCCTCCTTCAAAATAAAGGGATTATAAGAAGGGACAGTAATCAAAACTTGATTTAAAGGAGTTGGGGAGGGAGGAATTACAGTGAGATACTGTACGTGAGCAGCAGCAGCAGCTACATTGCAGGCCACAAAAGCCAGCCCCTGACTGCAGAGAGACAGTCGCTGTGCCCTCAGTCTGTGTATCGGCCAGTTCTTACCTTGACAGTGATTACACCCTTTCGTCCAACTTTTTTCATTGCATCAGAGATTATATTGCCAATTTCCTGATCTCCATTTGCTGATATTGTGGCAACCTGAAACAGTAAGTCATTTAGTCTTATTTCACAAGTGATTTGTTTCCTCACTGTTAAGAAAATCAGAATAACCATTTTTAATTCTCACATTTCCTGACAAGACAGCTGACTGTAGCACAGCCACACCAGGCTCCCAGAACTCTGTCAGAAGGGCTAGTGGCTCTCAGGCAGCTCAAGCCCTAGGCCAGATCTCGTGCCCTAGACTCCTGCAGCTCACACAGGCCACCCGAATCTGCAGCCATGGGGTGAAATGTACCATGAAGGCCAACACTTCTGGTGCCCACCTCCACCTGAGCCTCCCACAGCAGATCTGCCACACTCCCAGCAGCCCACCATCCCCTCCCATCCACAAACACAGCTTTGCTGTCTTCAGTTCTTCCCAAGTAAATAAATTTATGTTTTAAGACCTCTTTTTGGAAAGACACTTGAAGATAAAAAAACCCACCTATTTCTGAACTAACTTCTAGCAGTGTAGTTGAAGGTGGAACACTAGGAATCTTAACTCAAGAAAATGAAAATGTTATCATAAAGATCATTCAATCAAACATTCTGAATATTTATATATTTATAAAAAATACTTAGGTGTCACATATGCACAACTTAATTCCATTAAATCTGACTTCACAAAACTTTTTCTGAAGACTAGCTATAGAAACTTGGTTTAAATTTTATTTATTTTTCTTACCTGTGCGATTTCTTCTGGAGTTGTGACAGGTTTAGACAACTTCTTCAGCTCAGCTATGACAGCATCAACTGCAAGCATCACCCCTAACGAGGAAGGGATTGCTTGTGAGTGAACAAAACAGGGCATGCAGCACAGAACCCACCCCCCTCAAACAGGTTAAGTTTCAAACCAAAGCCCACACTGCAAACACCCATCAAGTTTGCAAGTTCAAAACCAAGTGACTGGCAGCTTGAGGTCCATACTGTCACTTGTACACCTAGTGATCATTTTTTGGAATTGGTGTGACATACTTTCCATCATTATTGACATTTATGGCAAAATTATTTACATGGCACCAGTAAATGTATATACTTATCCAAAATCAATTAAGTGCAGAAGTCGCTTTAAATGGAGTTTACCTATTACAAATTAAATGTTAACTGTATATAAAATAGTAAAATCATTAGAAACATGAAAAATTGTTCCAATTAAGTAATGTAACAGAAACAAGTGGGTTTTCTATGCATCACTCTTCTTATAAAGCTTTATGTGGCTCTTCAAAAAGACAGAAGCTTATTCAAGAAGCCAATCGGATTTGGAACATGAAAAGAGACAGTAATTAAACATTAAAAACAAGGGAAAAAAATTACCCCTCCTGATTTCTACTGGATTAGCTCCTTTGCTGATCTTCTCAAAGCCTTCCTTGGCAATAGCACGTGCAAGTACTGTTGCAGTAGTGGTACCATCTCCTGCTTCTTCATTTGTATTGTTGGCAACATCTTGAACTAACCTGGCTCCAATATTTTTGTATTTGTCTTTTAAGTCAATTGCCTTTGCTACCGTCACACCGTCTTTTGTCACTTTTGGACTTCCCCAGCTCTGTTCAATGATAACTGTTCTTCCCTAGGGCAACAAAGAACAAATATTAAATCAAAGCCACATAATCCACAGCACGTTACTCTAAGAGTTCCACTGAAGATTAAAACCCTTTTGAACAGCCACAGCCAAGCAGAAACGTCCCCTTGCACGGAGCTTTCAGTTGTGACTTTTTTCAAGCACACACATTACCAAAACTGGTACCACACATTCGCAAAAACTGGAAAAATGGCTCAAAAGTTTTATACTTTCACAGAACGAGGCTTCATTCCTCAGCCATAATGCTTAATACCACAGACTCAGAAGCCTGCAACTAAAGTAAGACTGGACTTACAAAGAAAAATAATTCAAAATATCCCCTCTAACACTGAAATTTCCTCCTAAAATTAAGATATAACAACATCATGAACTAAATTTCAAAAATCTCCATCAAATCACAATAAAGACTATGTGATTGAAGAACAGCAATACAAAGCTCAATTCGTTATACATTCTGGGAAGAAAAAAAAAAAAGCAGAGACTTGCAAACCTTATTAGTGATGAGCAAAGAGAACTGAGAATACTTAACAACTTTGTGTTAATGTGTTGCAATAATTTCTCAAACACTGCAAGTTAACAAGCTGTTCTTCTCCCAGCTGGTATTTGCATTCAACCAAAAAGCTGGACTATCCTATGCAATAGGATATGGCAACTATGGACCATACAGGGAGCCCAGGGCAGATGCACCTGCACAAGAGGATTGCTTGTTCCCAGATGAATTTAATAGCCTGAATAGCAGCCCCAATCAATCACGTCCCAGTTAGAGCAGGAGGCAGCAGAAATGCGAAGAGCCACCTCTGGTTCATGGCTGCCCTGAAACTTCTCAGCTATCCTGACAGCCAGAGCTGTTGGAAGAGGGCAAGGGAGAGCAACTGCCTCACCTCACCACCGTCAGCCCAACTGACCCTGCACGAGTCCCCTCACCTGCCCCGTCAGGTCCAGCCCAGGGCTGACCAGGCTGGCTCCTGCTGAGACACTGCCGCAGCAGATCACACTCCAGCACGGCTCCTGCTCCAGCCAGAGCCTGGATCACGTGCTAAGCAGGCCAGCTAAGGGCTCCCATGCAGCACGCACCGCCATGCCGCACTCTGCTCCTTGCTGCACACAGCCCACCCACATCTGCCTCAATGGCTTCACTAACTTGGGACTCCTGCCAGGCACGAGGCTATGCTGCTCCTCAAGTACAACTGGCCCTAAAAGCTGCACAAGAACTGTTAGGCTTCAGTTACTCATGTTGAACTTGTGCATGAGCTTACATAATTCTAACTGTGCCATAAAACAATTATCCCAAAATAATGCATAATCTGACTTCTTACTGCTACTTTGTTTGATCTAACTTCTCCTACGTCTAAAAGTGCTTCAAGAATACTCTCTCTGAATGATCCTGCTACTGATAACTTCTTCATATAGTCTCTTCTTTTGCCTAATTTTACTCTCCATTTTGGTATGGTCTTCTTCCAAAAGTTTGTTTGGTAGTTTGGAGACGAGCTGTGCATCAAAATCTACTTATATCCAATCACATTAAAGGACTTAACACTTGACAAACACTTTTTACCTGTGTGTCTGAAAAAAATGACCACCACCAGTAAATACACATGCATTTTGAATGGTCCTGCATGTCAAGAATCCAAACATTTGCATAAACTAGTTCTGACAAAGTAACCAACACATTGGTAGCAATAGATTGCGACAGACTGCACACCACATTTCTTTAAATACAGAACAGCGCCGAAGGGAAGTTTCCTCACCAGAGGAATATTTCTTTAAAATGCTGGAAGCAGAATCAGGCATTGCAGTACAATCCCTAAATCTCTACAAATACATGGAGAACAGCAGATAAAGTGAGAACACTGGGAAAAAAGCCCCACAAGGTTGCAGTAAGTTGCATCAGGCACTGCCCTTTAACCAGTGCATTAGAACTATGCTTAGGCACTCACAACGTAGCCTGATCCAAAAAACCAGAGTTAAATTAACTGACTAAACTTAAACTTTGTTCCTTTAGAGAAAACAGCCACAGCTTGCTGACATCATTGTTCCTTAACCTTCATCTGCTCAGCTTATGGCATTTGTGCCTTTGAATAGTGCCACCAGAGCACCAAAGATGTGCAAGAAACACATGGATTAATTTTACAGAGGCTAAGCAGCCTTGAGAAGAGCTACCATGCGCATGCTGTTATCATACAGAACAGAGATTCCTATTACCTCAAAGAAAATCAGTGTCTCTTCCTTAAAAAGCAGTCTCATTTCAAGCCTTACTGCACATTGCATGACTATGCAGAATACAGGAGCTACTTTTGCAGGGAACCCTACCCTATATTCTGTCCTATAAGCAGCACAAATAAACACCACTGCCATGGAATTTCACTGATAACCCAATGTTACATTTTCAATGTCTCTTTCACCTTGTTAATACTAAGAGGTAAAGTGATACAAAGCTGTAATTTGTTAAAAAAAACACCTAAATGCCCCCAGGCTCCCCCTAACCAAAAAAGCATCCACATGCACTAATTAACTCATCTCATGATATAGATAGGTAAATTATCTACTGCCTTGTTACAGACTGTCAATGAGCCATGGTAACCTATTATCCACATCCCCTTAACCTTCAAACTGTTTAAGCAAATACACTGCAGTGATGCAATTCATTTTGCTTTGTTACTACAAAAGACACATGCACTATTGTCGTGGTTCAGGTGATAAAAATGGCTGCTTGCAGTAGCCTGTCCATACCCCTACATCTTTGTGTTACAGATCTGCAGATGATAATCAGGCAGCTCCATCGAGGAAAAATTAACAGCTGTTTTTTCTACTGTGTTGTTTCTAAGCAGATCATAGAGTTAACATTAAAAAAAAAATGCAGAATCTTTCATTACCTTTGGCCCCATGGTGACAGCTACAGCATCTGCTAGAAGATCTACTCCTTGAAGCATAAGGGCTCTAGCATCTGCTCCAAACTTCACATCTTTTGCATATGCTCGTGTTAGATGGGGGGCGAGTGCTCTGGACACTGGCCTTATCTGGCGGAGTACTGTAGGTAAACGGAGCATGTCTAAAAGATTAAAACAAACCCAGAAGAAAATATAAGGGTCGCGTTTCTGCAGAGTTACTTCTAGAATAAAAAGGAAGAAAAAGGATTCGGGAAATAAAGCAAAACACCATGAACTTTTAGTTTCTTGCTTGGCTGAAAGAGAGACGCACAAGCCACTTCAAATAACAGGCCTGGGAAGCGCAGCTCCTCAAGGCCAGACCAGGGCTGCAGCACCAGCTCCTCGCTGAGCGGCCTCCAACAAACCCCAGCTCCTCCCGCCGGGCCTTCCCCGGCAGCAGGGCGGGAGCCGAGCAGGCACGGCGGGACAGCAGCAGCCCCGTGTGCCCGGCGGCTCCCCCGCCACCGCCTCACGGCGGGGCCCACGCACGCCGGCGGCGCTCCCGCTCCAACGGGCCCCGGGGCGAGGCTCCGGCGCCCCAATGCCTCCGGCCGGGGCCGCCCGCACCGCGCAGGGAAGCGAAGGCGCCGAGAGGCGGGGGGGG